AAGAAATGTCAAGTGGAGTTAAGTTGCCAATCAAATGGATGGCCATTGAAAGTATAGAGGATGGTATATTCACTGAAAAGACTGATATAGTAAGAGAAATAAGTATATGCATTACTATACTCACACACATACACACAGTGGTCATTTGGTATTACAGTATGGGAAGTGTTTAATGGAGGGAAGACACCTTATGGTGGGTTTTCACCAACATGTGTTAAGACTATGATATCTGATGGATACAGACTTGAAGCACCTTCAAATTCAGCATGCAATGATGATATGTAAGGAATACATTAATGAGTTGAATTATTAGTATAATCATCATGCTTATAGATATCAGAAGACAATGCTAAAGTGTTGGGAGAGGGATCCTAATGAGAGACCAACATTTGCTCAAGTTGTGACAGATATTGATACATTGCTATCAAACAGTGTTGGATACTTGAACCTTACTAAATAAGTCCAATTGAATATTATTGCAGGCTATACAAGACACATCCTATACATGCACATGTACTGGTATTGTAACTATATTTTGTAGTGTTAAGCATTATCTTCAGTTTAATTAGCCTAATAAAATCATTATAAATTCATGTACTTAAAGAAATTTTGTTCAGAAACATTGCATATCATAGCCAGATAAAATTCAACTCAGCTCTAATTTAAATGTATTAACTTGGAATATAAATAGTATTGGAAATTGCAGAGTCAGGTTAAGCTATACCACAACATCATCATAAACAATACCATATAGCAGTTGTTTAATTTAAATGTTGTTTAATGTAAAGTTATTTACTTTAAATGTTGTAGTTTAAATTTAAAGCACTCAAACAAAATTCCCGATACAAAACAGAACATCAGCTTATTTAAGTAACATTCTGGTAGAGCTATAAAGCTATGAACAGAATACATGGTAATTGATGTAGGAGGAGAAACAATATCACTGCTTAAATGATGATAACAGTTCTGAATATACCTATGGAGGCAATGAATCTGGTGGCACAAAAGTTAACAAAGCTTTCTCCAAATTGATGAAAAAAATACTCAATGACCAAGGTTTAAAAAAAATTGCAGTTTCAAGGACCATTCACAGCAAATAGCTCAAAATTTTGCAAGTTTGAAAGCCAAAAAAAGCACTTGGGCAAGATAACCTTAAAGATATTGCAGTAGGTTTACTGAGTAGATTTACCTTATTTTTTGAGGAATTACTAAAATCAGAGGTGGATAAAGTTGATGGGATGAAGATGTAAATGATACTTCGTATGTTGATAAAAAAGTGGTTGAGAAAGAGGTATTTGGTCCAGCAATTGATGGCATTATTGATTGCTTAGTAGAAGCTATTAAAGAGAATGAGTTCAAAGTAAGCACATTTTACTTGGTCAGAGGATTCGGAGGTTTCAAATATGTTCATCAAAAGTAATGGCTGCTATAGAAAAACTGTACATGCCTAAAGGCTATACATAAAATGCATTAGTGCCACCTAGCTGAGCTGTAATTTGGTACCAAAATCCAGAAAAAAATGAAAGCAAGATGATATGATGTTACATATGGCATACCTTTTGATCCAGAGAAACACAAATTTTTTTGGTATCAATGTAATAATGTGCTGGATGTGTTTTTTGTGAAAGGTAATTATTAATCAAAATCTTATATCTAGATTTATCTCTTTCAAATGCATCTGATACTAAAGTTTCTATTGAAATCTACTCAACTCCTTGTCTTGGTGTTCATTATATCAAGAATAAACGTGGGAAAAAACAGCTGTTAAAATTGGTAAACTATCTAGTATGTAATGCACCCAACCTTGATAAGTTAATAACCTACCAGTTGAAGAGCGTATAATAGATGTCACAATGGATTTCAGTGGTACTGAAATTCAGGCTAAAGCAAATATCAAACATTTAGATAAACACAGCTGGTACAAGCACTTCTATGAATTTAGCACACATGCCAGTTTATTTCCTGTTGCTTTTATTTTATAATAGTGCATGAGTGCATCATTCTTACTCAACAAAGCATATTGGATTCCCCCCGCATGTTTAGCTGCTGGGACCATTATTGATAACCATGGTCCAGACAAAAATTTAAATGCTTATTGGAATTGGCTGAAAGTTACATGGTCATAAAAATTATTTCATAAAAAGACCCTCTAACAATTAATTACTCTTAAATTTTGTGCAAACAAGCATGGCTGATAATTTTGTTACAACCAGTATAGTAAACAGAAGCATTAGTATAGGCACAAAAAAATAGTGTGATTATAAATCTAATGCAGAACAAAATTCTAGAGCCTGTATGATAATGAGTTGTAGTTTAAAGGTCTTCATACACAGGGAACTTGTTGCCAGTAACATTGTGGTTACTTTGACTTGTAAGCAACACGTTGCCAAAAATAGAACGGCTTTCTATTTTTGGCAACATGTTGCTTACAAGATCAAAGTAACCACAAATGTCACACAGACATAAAGCTTCGTAGATGAACTGTACAGTCATTTTTAAAACATTAGAATTGATTGTCCAAATTTAGAGAGAAAAAATCCCTCATCATAAGAATGAAGATGCATGTGCTTCATTAAAGCATTATGAGTGGATAAGGAAAAGTGGCATAAGCATAATTGTAGAAAATCCTATATCTTACACTTATGCCACACCAGTAGCAAGTAACTAACACATAATGTCCTTATATCACTTTTGCTATAATGTCAAGCACAATACAGTAAGTAGTACATATTAGTAGTACACTAAAAGTCAACAAATGTTTATATGACAGCAAAAGAGAAGTGGATTCAAACATTCTCTGATGTAAGTATGAGTGGAAATAGGACAAACAGTCAAACAGAAAATGAAAATATCTGAAAGTTCCCACTTGTAAGTCAAGATGTCGTATATCCTGATAAGGAATAGATTGCAGCATTAAAATATTTAATTAGCAATGACTACATTGGCCATCTTAGAGCTATATCTATAACAATAAAGACATGGCAACAGGGTAATTCTCCTATACCTAATGCAGCAACAATAGTAAACAAACTATTGTAAGGAAATCAGTCCATCTCACCAAGAGTAGATTATCTATACTCTTGATCTCACCTTAGTACCTATACTTACATGTAATATTATGCAATAACAGTGGACACAGTACATGCTAAACTACATTCAAGAATGGCAGTAAATGGTTTGTTTTTGTGTCTACAACTTCTTTTGTGGTATTCAAGTGCTGAACAGCTAAATGAACCTAACTTTGAGCAAGATGATGGTAACGCAACAATGAATGGTTGGTAAGAAAAATGTTCTAACAAAAATTTATTGCCTTATAGGTCCAGTTATATTACAAGATCCCACTCTCTATTATTTGAACTACAAGACAGTGTATGTGAACTGTTCTGTTTATGGAGAGTCTCTATTTGAAGTCTCATGGTTATATAGTACTGATGAGATATCTAATAGATCCAGTGACTACACTATCATCAGTGGTAGTAAAGTGTCTAATATTGTGTACAATCCTAACTCTGATGATGAAGGATATGTGTGGTGGAATAGTTCTCTTCTTTTGAATCCTATTAATAACTCAACAGTTGGATATTACTACTGTAGAGCCAACACCTCATTTGGTCTAATGTATTCAAAACCGGTCTATGTCAGGAACACTTGTAAGTTTTTATTCAAACTATATGCATCGGTATCTTTGTAATAATTTTTATGAATAGATTTACCGAGGCTAAACTTCACAAGGTTTGTTAAAAGTGGTAACAATGTGTTTGGAACATGGAGAGTGATAAGTTTTCCATTGCCAAAAATTCTAATTTCATTTCAGTACTTGAATAGATCTAGTAAATCTCTAAGCCAAAAAAGAGTATACAATGACTTCATGACTGCCTATGTGTCAAACAACGCATACAGTACAAATCATTATAATACTTACGTTAATAAAACAGGTGATGATAGCCTGACCGTACGTTGGAGGTATTCTTTCCATCGATTGTTTTCAATGCGACTAATAGCAATCAGTTATGATTACTCATTGCAAAAGGCACACTATCACCAGCTATACAATCATACTGGTATGAACTTGTTTTTTCAACTAAAATATACTTTTATTTCAAGGTCAAGCTTATGCAAGTTTTGATTCTTTATCATCCACTGAACGAAAGGTCACCTTTTCATGTCTCTGTGGAGAGTGTGATGGTATTGAATGGAGACAGGACAATATACCATTACCAAAGAGTAGCTATGGTGTTATTGCACTCAAGAAAGAGCTTTGGCCATATCACTCAATTAATCTGAAACACAGCACACTGTCAACTTCGTACTATGACAGTTATCTTTATAGCTGCCACGCAGTTAACTCTCAGGATAATATATTTGAAAACTCTCCAGCATATATTAATGTCCCACGTAAGTGTAACTAGCTTTTCTCAGTAATGCATTGGGAATAGTTAAGTTGCAAATAAGGCTAATTTAAACATTTTAATAGAGGCCTTTTAAAATAGTATTTTGTGTATCATTACAATATAGTTAAATTGCTATTTAGCATGCAAATTAAAGTTATATAGACTTAATTTAGGTTGCTACATGATGTAGTTGTTATTTTTCATATAAACATAGTTGCTAAAATTATTGAGAGTCCAAAAGCATCAACATACATCCCTGGAGAAACACTCACTCAGAAATGCTCTGCTCGTAGTCTCTATCCAATGACTGTCAGATGGCAAAAATCAAGAAAAAATCTGTTTTCAACTATAGTTAAAACAGATTCACTTGCAACAGAAGGCCTTTATAATGTATTGAACAGTACAATCAGTGCAAGAATCTCCTTTTCAACACCACTTTCATTTAATATGAGGTGTAAATTCTATACACGAATTTATTTTCAGCCAAATAACTTTACAAAAGTACATGGTCTGTATCAGAAAGGGCTATTATTTGAAAGACTAATAAAATCTAGAACTAATATTGATACACCATATCGCAGAATGACAATACAATGTAAGTCTGATTTTAATTTTAATTCGTAACGATCTTGAATTTCAATCATAAACAGATCCATCATCTATCACCTCTAATGTCACTAATATCACAATAAATGAAACTGAAAGGATGTACTTGTGGTGTTCTGCTAGAGGTGCTCCTCAACCAACTATCATTTGGTATCACAATAGCACACAGCTCCACTCAAACAGTTATTTGACAATAACTAATCCCTCAGTTCAACAATCAGCAGTAATTATACAACTAACCAGATATGAAAGAGATAAGGGAACATATACATGTGAAGCTAGAAATGGTGTCGCTACTAATTTGATCAATGCTAAACAATCCCACAATATAACTGTGAATATACTAGGTATTCATATAATATTATTGTTACTAAACAGTTATGCTAATTTAGTGGCTCCAGAGATTGAGCTGCCAGAAAACATAGCAGCTTATGAGAATGAAAATATTATTATTACTGTAAAAGTAATAAGGGCCCATCCTCCTGTACTGCCTGACCACATATCATGGACACATACAACCAGTTATGGAAGTGCAAGCCTCAATCAAAGTATTGAGGAAGGGTATGATAGCAGGGTCAACATCTCAGAAAATGGTAGGAGTCTTTATATTTCTGATCTAACAAGTGATGATGAAGGATACTATCAAGTATTAATATGGCATCCAGCTGGGTATAAGAATAAAACAACCTATCTTAAAATAAATACTATACAAGTTGGTATACAAGGTAGGAGGATAAAAATGGTGAAAAAATATATTGTTGATTTTAGATGGAGAACCATCTACGGCCTCATCTGCTACAAATTCAAATGGATTGATCATTGGTATAGCTTTAGCATCAGGGTTTGCACTAATGGTACTGTGCCTCATAGTGGTAGGAGTCATTTGTGGAAAAAGATGCAAAAGTAGAACAGAACCTATGATTGCATTTGAAATGGAAACTCGGTAACTATACATGTATATTGTTCATGACTTTCATTTAATTTTAGTCTGAGGCTAATCTCAACTTCCACAAACAATGCTGAAAGTAAGTTCAAAACATAGAGTGCACGTGTATGTATAAAATGCATGTTTGTACAGTTTGCTTAAACAATATTGATCAAGAAGTTTTGAAAAATATTCCCTATGCTTTGTTAATGAAGAAAACTCACTTAAAGATACTGGATTGTGTTGGACAAGGTTAAGAAATATAATTCCTTGATTTATCATATAAAATTCCTACAGGTGAATTTGCTAAAGTGTACAAAGGACATTACTATATTGACAGCCAATGTATTACAGTTGCTGTTAAAGCACTTAAAGGTATAATAAATTAATAATATTAAGTTCATGTTTATTTTGACACTGTCTAATATATAGGAACATTGGACAGATACAGTAGTGAAAGTATGAAAGAATTAATTGAGGAGAGTCTAGTAATGAAGGATTTACAGCATCCTAATGTAATGGGATTAATTGGTATATGCTTAGATGCTGGACCATCACCACTGATTGTACTACCATATATGGAAGGTATAGAGCTTAAAACTATGCTTCTTACATTGCATATTACATGTATGAGTAATAGGTGGTAGCTTGTCGAAATATTTAATAAAGAATCGAGAGAGTTTGATGGCTTGCACATCTACAGATGATGATGAGGTATCAATAATGCATACAGCATATAGGCATGCATCATATCCATAGATCAATCAGTTGTGCTCCCAGCTACTGTCAGTATGTTTGCAAATTGGAAAAGGAATGCAATACTTGGCAGGAAAAGGTCTAATACACAGAGATTTGGCTGCCAGAAACTGCATGTAAACATGTTTATTAATGGAATTTTACTAATTT